TTGCAGGGCGGATGTTCGCCGTGGGCTGCAGCCTGGGGCCGCCGATGCATTTCTGGTACCTGTGGCTGGACTCGGCGTTCCCCGCGCGCCGCCTCGGCACCGTGCTGAAGAAGGTGCTGCTGGACCAGCTGGTGGCCTCGCCCAGCCTGGGAGCCTGGTACTTCGTGGGTACGTGGCACCACGGCCCAGCCCAGAGCTGCTGCTGGTGCCGGGGGGTTTGGGGTTGGTGTCCATCCAGGTTCTGGGCAGGGTCGGGGCGTCGCTCTGGGCCTGGTGGGAAGCGGTGGAAGGTTCTCCTCAGGGTTAATGGGGCAAAAATCATCGGCACAGCTCTGGCAGGGCTGGGCTGTTCCATGGGGGATTCAGTGCCCAGCACCCTCTGGGGGAGGAACATTTTCCTGGTCTCCATCCCAGATCCCTGAGCCTTTCCCTCATCTCCATCCCCTATCCCTGAACCTTTCCCTGAGCTCCATCCCAAATCCCTGAGCCTTTCCTCATCTCCATCCCAAATCCCAGAACCTTTCCCTGATCTCCATCCCAAATCCCTGAACCTTTCCCTGATCTCCATCCCAAATCCCAGAACATTTCTCTGATCTCCATCCCCAATCCCAGAACCTTTCCCTGATCTCCATCCCAAATCCCAGAACCTTTCCCTGATCTCCATCCCAAATCCCTGATCTCCATCCCCAATCCCAAAACCTTTCCCTCATCTCCATCCCCAATCACAGAACCTTTCCCTGATCTCCATCCCAAACCCCAGGACCTTTCCCTAATCTCCATCCCAAATCCCAGAACCTTTCCCTGAGCTCCATCCCCAATCCCAGAACCTGTCCCTGATCTCCATCCCAAATCCCTGAGCCTTTCCCTGATCTCCATCCCCAATCCCAGAACCTGTCCCTGATCTCCATCCCACTCCCTGGCACAGCCCCAGCCGTTCCCCAGACCTTCCCTTTCACTTTCCTTCCCATTTCCCAGAACTCCGTCCCTCTGGGAGGGGTTTGGGACCTTTCCCGACAATTCCCACCCCAATTCCCAGCCTGGAACGATCCCCACTGACCCTCCTGTCCCCACAGCCATCGGCACCCTGGAGGGCCAGTCTCTGCAGGAGAGCTGGGACGAGCTGAAGGAGAAATTTTGGGA